AAGCAATATGAGAATCTCAACATGAAGAATAATGAGAAAGTTTCTGAATACATCTCCAGAGTGATTCTGATCACTAATGAGATGAAGGCATGTGGAGAAACTCTTTCTGAAGAAACAATCATGGAGAAGGTATTGAGATCCCTTACTCCTCAATTTGATTACATTGTGGTAGCAATAGAACATTCCAAAGATCTGAGCACCATGAGACTTGAAGAGCTGCAGAGCAGTCTAGAAGCGCAAGAGTTGCGTTTGACTGAGAGAACTTCTGAAAGGGAAGTAGAGCAGCAGGCTCTGAAAGCAACTTCTGATAGGAGGTATCAGAAGCAGTCAGAAGCCAAGAGAAGATCTGATGGTGGTCAGAAGTCAGAAAGCTCAACCTCTGATAGACAAAAGAATGCTCAGAAGGGAAAAGAGAAGTATGACAAGAAGAAGATCCAATGTTACTGTTGTAAGAAGTTTGGTCACTTTGCTAGAGATTGTTGGTCAAACAAGGAGAAGAAATCAGAAGAAGCAAATATAGCCAGAAGTTCTGATGACGAATTTGTGCTATTGATGGCGTCTGAATCTGATGATCTGACAGACTGGTGGTATATGGACACTGGCTGTTCAAATCATCTTACTGGAAACAAGAAATGGCTGGTTGACTTTGACTCTGAAAAGAGAACAAAGATCAGATGTGCTGATGACAAATATCTTAATGCAGAAGGTATGGGAAATGTCAAAGTGACTCTGAACAATGGAAAAATAGCATTGATTCAGAATGTGTGGTATGTACCTGGCATCAGAAGCAATCTGATGAGTGTGGGACAATTAATTGAGAAAGGTTTCTCAGTTACCATGAAGGACAATCTTCTGAAGCTGTATGACTGTAATCAGAAGTTGATTATGGAGTCAGAACAGGGAAGGAATAGAACATTCAAGGTGAATGTCAGAACTGCAGACTCAGAGTGTCTTAGTGCAACAAGTACTGAGAAGGAGAGTGAGCTGTGGCACAGAAGATTTGGTCATTTGAATTTCAGAAGCTTACAACATCTGAATTCAAAGAAATTGGTACATGGAATTCCTGCAATTAAGAAGCCTGAAAAGTCATGCAGAGTTTGCATGGAAGGAAAACAACCAAGATTGCCATTTGCATCAGAAGCTGCTCCAAGAGCAAAACATGTCTTGGGAGTTGTACACTCTGATGTGTGTGGTCCATTTCCAGTAGCATCAATTGGAGGGAACAAATACTTTGTGTTGTTTGTTGATGAATTCACAAGAATGACATGGGTATCCCTTATTAAGTTCAAACACGAGGTGTTTGATGAATTCAAAAAGTTCAGAATGAAGGCTGAGAATCAGAGTGGTCAGAAGTTGAAGATTCTTAGAACTGATGGTGGAGGTGAGTATAACTCCAAAGAGTTCCAGAAGTTCTGTGAGGAGAATGGAATTGAGCATGAGGTTACTGCTCCTTATACCCCTCAACACAATGGTCTTGCTGAAAGAAGAAACCGTACTTTGCTTGATATGGTGAGAAGCATGCTAAAGGAGAAGAAGCTTCCTCAGAAGCTCTGGGGAGAAGTTGTTGCCACTGCAACGTATGTACTCAACAGATGTCCTACGAAGAAGTTGAAGGAAATAGTTCCTATGCAGAAGTGGACTGGAGACAAGCAAAGTGTTAGTCATCTGAAGGTGTTTGGTTCTGTTTGCTATAAACATGTTCCAGAAGCCAGAAGACAGAAGCTGGATGATAAAAGCAAAGTGATGATTCTGATAGGGTACCACAGTACAGGTGCATACAAGCTCTATTTTCCAGAAACCAATAAAATTGAATTCAGCAGAGATGTGATTGTGAAGGAATCAGAAGTTTGGAATTGGGATAAGTCTCAATCTGATTCTGATGTTAGAACCTCTGAAGAAAGGTCAGAGTTAAGAATTTCTGAAGTTGAAGTAAATCCTGATATTGACTCTGACTCTGATACTGATTCAAACTCTGAAGAAGACTCAGAAGATGAAGGTGACCCAGATGACCCAGACTCTGATGATTCAGACTCTGATGGCAATCCAGATCTTGGTGGCAATTCAGACTCTGGAAATATGCCAGACTCTGAAGATGGTCAAAGCTCTGGAGGTCAATCATCTGAAGCTAGAAACTCTGAAGCTCAAGACTCTGAACAAGTTCAGAGACCACAAAGAATCAGAAGCGTTCCCAGAAGATTTGCAGAATTTGACATGCTGCAAGACACTGAAGTAGACTCTGAAGGAGAAGTTATTCAGTGTGCCATGTTAGTAGACTCTGAACCTATAAGTACAGAGGAGGCTCTTAAGCAGAAGCTCTGGCTGAAGGCCATGAAAGAAGAACTTGATGCTATAGAGAGAAACAAGACTTGGAAGCTGACAGAACTTCCAAAAGACAAGAAAGCCATCAGCGTCAGATGGGTTTTCAAGCAGAAGTTAAAGCCAGATGGCTCAATTGGCAAACATAAAGCAAGGTTGGTAGCCAGAGGATTTCTACAAAAACCTGGGCTGGATTACTCTGAAGTGTTTGCACCTGTAGCAAGACATGAAACAATCAGAATGGTGATTGCAATAGCTGCTAACAGGAATTGGCCTCTGATGCATTTAGATGTAAAATCTGCATTTCTGAATGGTCCATTAGAAGAAGAAGTTTACGTGTCACAACCTCCTGGATTTGTGAAAAAGAATCAGGAAGGGATGGTGTACAAATTATACAAAGCTCTATATGGATTGAAACAAGCGCCCAGAGCTTGGAATCAGAAGATTGATTCATTTTTCAAGAAGCAAGGCTTTCAGAAATGTGAGATGGAGTACGGTGTCTATGTTCAGCATACTTCTGAAGGCAATATGACTCTGGTATGTTTATATGTTGATGATATACTATTGACTGGAAGTTCTGAACAGGAGATAGCCAAGTTCAAGAAGGTTCTAATGAATGAATTTGAAATGACTGATCTAGGCAAAATGACATACTTTCTAGGGATGGAGTTCAAATATTTTGAGAAAGGTATCATTTTGCATCAGCTCAAGTATGAATTAGAACTTCTGAAGAGATTTGATCTGAAGAATTGTAAGATGGCTGTCACACCTTCTGATACAAATCAGAAACTGGATTCAGACTCTGAAGGAAAGGATGTGGATGCTACAACCTTCAAACAGTTGGTTGGTTCTCTGAGGTATCTGTGCAATACCAGACCTGATATTTGCTACTCATTTGGGATGATTAGTAGGTTCATGAGTAAACCTAAGTGGTCCCATTACCAAGCTGCTATCAGGATTCTGAGGTATATCAAAGGAACTCTGAAGTATGGAGTGTTATTTCCCTCTGGAGGAAATAATGAGTCAGAACTTCTGAGTTATTCAGACTCTGATTGGTGTGGAGACAGAGTTGACAGAAGAAGTACATCTGGGTACTTGTTCAAATTTCTGGGAGGTCCCATTTCTTGGTGTTCCAAGAAGCAACCTGTTGTGGCGTTGTCAACCTGTGAAGCTGAATACATTGTAGGTGCTGTTACTGCATGCCAATCTGTGTGGATTCTGAATCTGTTGCAGGATCTGAAGATTAAGGTAGACAAACCTCTGAAGTTGATGATTGACAACAAGTCTGCAATCAACCTTGCCAGAAACCCAGTGTTGCATGGGAGAAGCAAGCATATTGAGACCAAGTATCATTTTCTGAGACATCAAGTTCAGAGTGGAGTGTTAGAAGTTGTACACTGCAGCACTCAGAAGCAGTTGGCAGATGTTCTGACGAAAGCTATCAAGACTGATCAATTTCTCAGATTAAGGGATGGAATTGGTGTTACAAGTTTTGATGGAATATGAATTAAGGGATGGTATTAGTAATAATTCATATTTTATTGTATTATTTTCTTAAGCCCATAAGTTTGTTAGAGGGTATTTCAGTATTTTATCTTATTCTAGTAACCTTAGTTTTAGCCTATAAATAGGGTGAGAATCATTGTAACTTTTAATCCTGTTTTTCTGCCGTCATTCTCTTAATAGAATATTTCCCTATTTTCATTATTCTATCTTTGCACCAACACATCCCACATCCCACGTTTTGGAGAATTCACTTTTTTTTTCTTAAAAGAATATATTTTACACCTAGTAAAATCATAGTTGTTTTCAAATCTATTTTATACCTATTTCTTAATAAAAAAAAGTTTAAAATCCATGTATTTTTATAGTTTTTTTTTAAACTCCGTATAAATTAATATCTTCATGCCTATTTTTTAAATTATATCAGAACTCCGGATTAATTAGGTCAACCCTAAATAAATTAGAGGTAGATAGATTATTGAACAAATAATAAAATCATTTATCAACTTTTAATTATATCAGAACTCCGGATTAATTAGGTCAACCCTAAATAAATTAGAGGTAGATAGATTATTGAAGAAATAATAAAATCATTTATCAACTAAGAAAAAATTAAGGAACAATGAGTCACGCAATAATTTCTCTCTTTATTAGGACCATCACCTTATCTTAAATAAAAATTATTTATAAGTGTTCTTATAAATTTATTTTTTATTTTTTTAGACTGATGTATATAAAAGGGTGAGAAGTTATTCTGTGATGTCAATATAACATGTGTTTGTCTCTTTTTTTAGTTGATGAATGGTTTTATTATTTGTTCAATAATTTATCTATCTAAAAGCTTCTCATTCCTTCACCAAATATTTTTCTTTGAATCGTTACAAACTTTTTACATTCACAACACAAAAACCTCTGTTCCTCAAAATTAACACCAAAACGAAATAGAGAGCGCAAAAACGCGACTCTCTCATATAAGAAAAAATATAATGAAGGTAAGAGGATAATGTTATTCCTCTTCTAATTCTATTAATCATATATTATTGCATTTATTAAACTACTTTTATACATTAATCATTATCTCTGTGTCTGTTTAAATTCATACAATGTTTTGTTTTCTGCAGAGGCTACGTAGCGACATTCGCATGCATAATTTACAAACTCATATCTTCGTGCTAATCGCTATGTGTCTCTTCACCTATTCATCAAGCTCCAAGGTAATTCTAAATTATGAATAATTCTAATATTTGCAAGCAATCTTGTTTTTTTATTGTCTTTGATTTTTCTGACCAAGTACGAGGTAACAGATCGGAGAAACTTGTGGAACATGTGATGCTGGTCTTACATGTCAAACATGTCCTGCCAATGGAAATACAAGACCAAGATGTAGCAGAATACAAACTTTAAACCCAATTACCAAAGTTAGTTTCTTTTCACATTTTGTTATATTTCAATATTTTTCTAGAAAATTTTTCGATTATTTATTTTTATAATAACATTATGAAGGTGAAAGGTTTACCATTTAATCGATATTCATGGTTAACAACACATAATTCGTTTGCTTTAGCTGGGGCAAAATCAGCCACAGGGTCGTTTATCGTTGCCCCTATGAACCAAGACGACACAATTGGTGATCAACTTAAAGTAAGATTTGATTCCTATAATTGTAACATAGGAATGTATAAAATCATATATATGATTGATTAAACTCTTGTTTTTTTTTTCTCACTTACCTATATATTTTGTATTTATAGAATGGTGTGCGAGGATTCATGTTAGATATGTATGATTTTCAAAACAATGTATGGTTGTGTCATTCTGCTCGAAACAAATGTTTCAATTTCACTTCCTTTGTAAGTGTGTGACTCTACTATAAGGAATACTTTGTTAATCATTAATTATATAACATAAACTTTGGTGAATTTAGTTCAATTAGTAACATTCATGTGTTGATCTATGATCGGTAGATACCTGCGGTAGATGCGCTTAATGAAATACGGGCGTTTTTAGACTCAAATCCTTTTGAAATAGTCACTATTTTTATTGAGGATTATGTCGTAGCTCCTTCGGGCATAAGTAAGGTCTTCCAAGGTTCGGGAATCAACAAGTACTTGTTCCCACTTGCTCGGATGCCAACGAAGGGTGAAGATTGGCCTACTGTCGATGACATGATCCAGAAGAATCATCGCTTCATCGCTTTCACCTCGAAAAAATCTAAGGAAGAATCTGAAGGCATTCCTTTTATGTGGAAATACGTCGTAGAAAACCAATGTGAGTAATTGCACGGCACGTACGAGTGATATGATCATGTAAATAAGTTAATTGTGTTTTATCCATAGTATATATGAATTTGGATTTCTAAAACTAATTAGCAATGATTGTATATGTGTGAAAATTTAGATGGAAATGAAGGTATGCAAGAGGGTATTTGTTCGAACCGACCAGAATCGCCACCACTTGACCTGAAATCTAGGTCACTAGTTCTGGTTAATTTTTTTCATTCTACACCGAATCGTTCTCAATCATGTGCCGATAATTCGGCTCCATTACTTAACATGATCAGGACTTGCCAAAAAGCAGCTGGTCGATGGCCAAATTTCATCGCGGTTGATTATTATCTGGTATTATATACTTCTTTAAATATTAAACCATTAATCACAAAGGCTAGTTTATAGTAACTCATTAATGATGAAAATGGTGTTATAGAGGAATGATGGAGGAGGAGCAGCAGAAGCTGTTGATGAAGCAAATGGTCATCTCACTTGTGGATGTGACAACATCAACTATTGCAAGGTTTGATTAAACTTAGCATATGCTGCATATTCATTGGAAATTTTTACCATAAAACTTTACCTTAATGTGTATTATATATGTTTAGGTAAATGGTACATTTGGTGAATGCGATGTCCCTAAAATTTCTCCACCTCCACCTGCTGCAGAAGCTTCACCAGATGGAAACAAACAATCCCCTAAGAAAAACAGTGCATGTATTGGTAGAACAGCAATGATGATGCAACCAGTTATGTTAGTTTCGGTTGCCACAACTTTCTTGGCATTTTTATAAAATGTCACTAGTTTCGCAGGGTTTTTAATCAGGTGAAAATATGTAAGTATGTATAATATTGTACACATTGAGTCATTTGATTCATTGTAATAGTATAAAATCATATTCTTTTTAAAACTTTTTTAAAATATCAAACCGATATCAAAATATAGACGTAATCTTCCAAAATCCGAACTTCTAAATTTGAGCTGGTGCAAGTCATGCCAAAAATCTGTTTTCAGGTGATGGAAGTGAGATCTAGTGAATATATGAATCAATTGTGGGGCTTCTCTTTCATCATGAGACAAAACATAGTGGTCACGCATGAGATGCCTTATAAAGATGAATTGAGTTATGAAACTTTCATCACACAGCTGTCAGGTTTTCTCTAAATAACAACATAAATTCTCCCCCACTTATTGATACATATGGGGGGCTATTGGACCACTGCATTGATGTGAAGATAGTCTGTCATATAATGCCAACTACATAACATCAATGTGCTGTTGTGTATCTCACTTGTATTGTATGCATCATAGGAGTAACTTTCAACCAAGAAAAAGCCGCACGGTGTAAGTGTGCGTGCGTGTGCGTGTTTAGGGTAGGGTGGATCACCGTGATTCAGACAAATTCACTGTGATACTAAAAACAGGCATTAAGACTTGAAGGAAAATTGAAATAGTTTTATTGGATGAATTGAACCGTGTGACTATAATTTACATGACCAGCCTATAGCTACAATACAACCATCCCCTTAAAAAATGACATGGGACAGAAAGTGAAGAAATATCGACGCGAGGTAGGTATAGAACGTGCCAACAATCTAAAGCAAAAAGCACGTTAAGCCCCCCCATGAATGAAAATCGTGTTTGCGTTTTGCAATGACAGGTTGTAAAGGGAGGATGAGTAGTTGTAGCACAGGTTTTTCTTGTTGTCGTTGAAGAGACAGATATGCAAATTTATTGTTTCTGTATTTCATGATTTGAACTTGTCTCACTTGTAGAATTCTCATTTTCATGTACACCATCATCGACAGATACAGTGGCCTCCTCTTTCAATCTATCGTCTATTCTGGCAATAGGTGACTGTCCTGCTGCCTCTCTTCTAGCTCGGCGATCCTATATCATTATAGTTGTTGAAATATTTTGGTTTGATATCTCAGTTAATAAAAGTAACAAACCACATGCTATGCTTTCTTATTCATTAGCTAAAACCATAAATTATAGTTACCTCTTTGTAAGGGGAATCTTCAGCTTCAAGCATGTGTATTACATGTCCCATTTTAGGTCGCTTTTGTGCATTAGGGTCGGTGCATCGTAAGGCTACAAGAAGAGCTCGCTTTAGGGCTCTCGAAGTTGGTTTCTCTGGAAGCTTTGGATCTAACACTCCCTCAGGATTTCTGTTACCAACCATCTTCTTCAGCCACTCAACTAAATTCACCTGAAAATTTTTAGTTGTCAGATTCGAGAATCAAGCGTAATAAACAATCAGTAACATGAAGGCTTGGTTCACAAATCATAATCGTAAAAGAAATAAACCAAACCTCTTCTGCAGGACGACTATACTCAACTGGATTCCTTCCGGTAATCACTTCCATAATAAGAATTCCAAAACTATATACATCACTTCGTTCATTCAACATTCCAGTACTTGCATACTCAGGAGCTACATATCTGCGAAAATAAGAATCCGTAATTTATATATATTCCTTCTAGCATAAAATAGAACAAAAACTAGCCTGAGAAGAATGTACAAACCCAAATGTTCCCATGACACGGGTCGTAATATAGCTGCTATCAGGGCTAAGGAGTTTGGCAAGACCAAAGTCAGAAACCTTTGAATTCCACTGCTTACTAAGCAAAATGTTGCTCGATTTAATATCACGGTGAACGACTTTCGGTTCTAGCCCCTCATGAAGATAAGTCAACCTGTCGATAAAACAATATCACAAAAACCATTTTTCACCATTAAATTTCAAAATTAGAGAACACAATAGACAACAACAAAAAAATCAAATGATGTTATTGTTGTTGCTTAGTATCTTACCCTTTCGCTGTTCCAAGAATAATATTCATTCGAATTTCCCATGTTAATGGACTACATGGCCCAACATCACCATGTAACCATTGCTCCAAGTTACCATTATCAACAAACTCATACACTAGCATTCTATAACGACGATAAAAAAAAAACACACTTATCAGTAACTATCATAACAACGAAAAAAAATAAAAAAAACACGTAAATTAAATCAAACAGAACAACACTAGTAGTCCTACCTGTGAGCACCTTCAGCACAATAACCAAGCAACCTCACTAAATTCTTATGACGAACTCGTCCTATAGCTTCAACCTCGACCTTAAACTCTCTCTCAGCCTGTCCTCTAATCAAATTACAAACAAAGCATAGTTAATATAATTTAACAAGTTGAATATAAACAAAAAGAGAGAATATGAAAGAAAAAGAACCTGTTATTAAGCAAATTTTTAACAGCAATTTGAGTGTTATTCTTCAAAATACCATGATAAACAATTCCATAACCACCTTCACCAATAACATTATCAGGAGCAAAAGCATTGGTAGCATCTTCTAACTCTCTAAGAGTATACCAATGACCCCAACCGAGATGAGAAACTTGAGGTATCACAGTAGGAGTTTGATCCAACGGTCGAGATTCTCCACTATTTTCATGAGAATTATTACTAGCTCTCGAAGAAGCACGTTGTTCAGGGTAAGATATTCTATGGTTTTTTCCTATCTCAAGCTGAATTCTCTTGTAACTCAAGGGAGTTTCTTCTTCTAGGTGGTGATGTTCGGTGGATGAGAGTGGGTCGGGTTCAGGGAACGGGTCGGGTTGTGGATTATTCGAAGGAAGGACTTCGAGTTTGATTTCTTTGATCTCTTTGGAGATGTTTGGGATAGAAGTTTTTAACGTTTTGGAGGTTTTGGAGGTTTTATTGTTGTTGTTGCGTTTGTAAGCGAGCCAGATGGAGATGAGGAAGAGGAGGAGGACGATGGCGACACCGACAGAGACGCCGAGGACAACCCAGAGACGGAGGCCGAAGATGGAAGTTTGGTTGGAGAGTTGGTCGGTCATGGTGTCGGTGGTGGGAGGAGTGAGCATTGGTGTGAGAGAGAGAGAGAGGGAGAGAGAGAGAGAGAGAGAGAGAGAGAGAGAGATGAGAGAAGAAGAGGAAGAGAAGAAGGAGAAGAAGAAGGGGATGGCAGCTGGCATGGTGGGGCCGTAATGAATTGCAGTGTGTTTTGCTGTCTGTTTGGAAGGGAGTGAGTGGGAAATACTGTTGGTTTGAGTTTGATTCACTGGTTTAGTCAAACAAAAAAAGAGATGGTAATGTAAGTGTTTCTTAATTAGACTTGAATTTTCTGTTTTGGAAAAGTGTATTAAAGTTGCTTTAATATAGTGACAAAATTATACTGCCTCCATTTTATTTTATTTTATTTTTTATAAATCACTTTAGAAAAATTATTTTAATTAAAATATAGATCCTTTTAGATATCAATAAAGTATTAACAATATCAAAAAAACAATTCAATTCATAAATAATTGATTCACATAACTATAATTTATTCACGTACTAAAAGATTGTGGACTTAATTTCTGTTGGGCTCGTTGTAAGTGTAAGAACACACCGTTAATACACAGCAAAATTGTAATTGGAAGATGAAAGAAATAGCATATACACTCTAATGTTTTGATATTTTAGAATACATCTTGGAGGAGAAAAAGATAGAGAATATAGATGATTCTCATTCATTTATTTTTCACATTACAAAGTGTTATTTATATGTGTTACATAATAGCTTGCTAAGTAAGTCATCAATACACAAAGTAAATAACTAACTAACTTGTACACAAGACAGTTATGGATTAACATTCAACACTCCCTTTTAATTCATAACTGTTGAACACTTATAACACCAAGATATTTTCTCAAAAACTTAAATCTGTCAAGCTTTAAAGCCTTTGTAAAACAATCTGTCAGCTGCATTTCAGTTGGACAATATTGCACTTCAATCATTCCATTGTTCACTTGCTCTCTAATGAAATGAAACCTTGTATCGATGTGTTTACTTATGTCATGTGAGGTTGGATTTTTAGCAAGGCTAATAGCTGGCTTTGTTATCAATTCTGACTATCAGAGGCTTCATCACTGAATCCAACCACACTGCTTGACAAGTTGCAAATGTTCCTGCAATATATTTTGCCTCACAAGATGAAAGTGCAGTCACTAGTTGCTTCTTTGTACACCATGATATAGCTACCTCATTAAACTTGAAAACATAGCCAGAGGTACTTATTTTATCTGTGATGTCTCCATACCAATCACTATCTGAGTATCCAATGAGTTCACTTCTTTCAAATTTGCTTCCATTTGGGAATAGCAGCCCAAACTCCTTTGTGTCTTTTATATACCTAAGTATCCTTTTAGCAGCTATCAAGTGAGTCTTCCTTGAAACATGCATGAACTTGCTAATCACAGTGACTAAGTAGCAAATGCCAAGCCTGTTGTTGCACAAACCAACCATTTGTATGAACAATGTTGGATAAACTCTTTCTTTATCGTTGCACTCGTCCATTTTTGAGTTTGTCTCTAATGGATTTGAAATTGAATTGCAGCTATTCATTTCAAATTTCTCAAGCAGTTCACTACATACTTCTGCTGGTGCGTAACTGTTCCACTTTCAAATTTAGATTTCAACTTGTTTTTACTTTTTCAATGTCTGATGTCTTGCTTCCTGTAATGAGCAAATCATCCACATATAGGCAGATTATCATAGTCTCTTCTTCACTTGAACTTTGCACATACCAAACTCTGCTTAACACTTTTTGAAACCTACTTTTATCATAAACTAATAAATCCTCTTGTTCCAAGCTCTAGGGGGCTGCTTTAAACCATACAAAGCCTTATGGAGTCTATACACCAAGTTTTCATTGCCTTGTACTTCAAAACCATGAGGTTGTGACACAAACACTACTTTTTCGAGTGGACCATTTAGAAAGGCTAATTTCACATCTAAATGATAAAGTGACCACCTTCTCTTGCAAGCTAGAGCCATAACTAACCTTACAGTTTCAAGCCTTACAACTAGAGCAAACACCTCATTGTAATCAATGCCATGTTTATTGTAAGAAGCTTCTAGCCACCAACCTTGCCTTATACTTTGAAATTGTCCCATCAGGATTTTATTTCAGTTTGAACACCCACTTCACATCTATTTTCTTTTTCTTATCTGGCAAGTTAACTAGCTCTCGGGTCTGATTCTTCTCAATTGAATTGAGCTCTTCCATCATAGTTTTCCTCCATACATCTATCTTCAATGATGCTTTGTAATTGAGAGGTTCAGTATCTTTCAATAATGCAAAGTGAATGATATCACTTTCATCATTTACTGCATTATCAAAAATTACATCATAATCATTCAACCTTCTTGGAGCTTATCTGATTCATTGAGGTCTCACAACTATTTCCTCTTTTCCTAGTTCATCTGCATCATTATTGTTCACTTCTTCATTATCCGATTCATCCCTTGAATCAGGATAAATGCAACTTTGTTGATTCTCTTTAATGTATATTGGCTCTTCTTCCCATTTCAACTTCTCAGCCTCATTCATAATCACATATCTACTGACATGTATCTTTTGAGTTAGAGGATTATACAACTTATAGGCACTTGTTGGATGATAGCCTACAGGTATCATAATCTCACTCTTATCTTCAAGCTTGCTTCTTCTAACATTTGGTACATGTTTGTAGCACAAAGAGCCAAAAACCTTAAAATGTTTCACACTAGGCTTTCTTCCACACCAAGCTTCCTCTAGTACCTTCAAATTCAGCTTCTTTGTAAAACATTTATTCAGAATGTAAGCAGTTGTAGTGACTGCTTCACCCCAAAACTTGTGTGGTAGGTTTTTCTACTTGATCATGCTTCTTGCCATATTCAATAGAGTTTTATTCCTTCTCTCAGCAAGTCCATTATGCTGAGGTGTATAGGGAGTTGTTACCTCATGCATAATGCCTTGATTGAGACTGAAGGCTTCAAAATCTTTTGAGGTGTATTCTCCTCCACCATCAGTTCTCAAGATCTTAATAGATTTATCACTCTCCTTTTCTATTAAGATTTTGAATTTTTTTGAATACATCTAAAGCCTCACTCTTAAGCTTGATTGTATACAGTCATATCATTCTTGTACATTCATCAACAAATGTGATGAAGTATTTGCTTCCCCCTAATGGAGATACTTCAAAAGGACCACATATATCAGAGTGAACCACCTGCAGTGTTACACTAGCTCTTTTAGGTGCTTCAGAAACAAAGGAAAGCCTACTTTGCTTGCTTTTTACACATACTTCACAAATGGCTTTTCTGATATTCAGTTTTGGCAAGCCATACACCAGTTTTTTAGAATTTAAATCACTAAGACTTTTAAAGTTTAGGTGATCATACCTTTTGTACCATAGATCTTCAACATCTTCACTCACTGTTGCAGACAGGCACGTCATCTTTTCACTTGAGATGTTACATCTATATGTTCTATTCTTTGACATGTTTGATTTAAGCACCAAATTCTTCTTTGCATCAAACAACTTCAAAGAGTCACCATCCATAGTCACTGAGAATCATTTCTCCACCAGTTGACCAATGCTCGTGAGATTATACTTCATTTCAGTAACATACATCACATCTTCCATAATGATTCTCTTGCCATCATTGCTTCTGATCACTATATTTCCACTACCTTCGGCCACAAGATCTCTACTGTCAGCCAACTTGATGCTTGCTTTCTTGCTATCATTAAAACTTGTCAACCATTCTTTATTTGATGTCATGTGATTTGAGCACACAAATTCAATAAACCACTCTTCATTATTCACCTTTTCATCACTGGTAGTAGCCATCATCAACACTGTACTAGAATCATCTTCACGAGCCAAATTTGCTTCCTCATCAGTCTTTTGACCTTTCTTGAACCAACATTCATCAGCAAAATGCCCATACTTCTCATAGTTGAAGCATTGCACCTTACTTTTGTCAAAGTCCCTCTTCTTGTTCTGACATCTACCAAAACCTCCTTTCTTTGAAGATTCAGTTGTTTCTTCACTATTGTTCTTTTCATTGTTAGACTAGTTTGCTTTGCTTTTTCCCTTCTTCTTAAAATTCTTTTGATTTTCCTCATTCTTGGAAGTTTGAACTTGAAATGCTTGTTGAACGGATCTCTCTGAACTTCTATCAAAACCAGGAGCTCATGTGCTTCCAATGTATTTTGCAACTCTTTAATTTTCATAGTTTTCACATCCTTTGCTTCTTGGATAACTACAACAATGAAATCAAACTTTAGACTCAAAGATCTCAGCACCTTTTATACTACTATTTGATCTGTAATGTTCTCACCACAAGTTTGCATCTGATTAACTGTGGTTGTTAATTTTGAAAAGTAATCACTTACTTTATGATCTTCTTCTGTCTGCATCATCTCATTCTTTCTTCTATGGGATTGTAGCTTCACTTGCTTCACCTTTTCTTCACCAGTGTGATATTTTCTAAAACGTCTCATGCTTATTTGGATCTTGTCGCCTTAGAAATCTTCTCAAAGTTGTAGAACATAGCTTTGTAGTTTTTCTTCTTGACTTCCTTGAATGCAGTTCTCTGTGCATCAGTTGGATTGGCCACCAGATCCTCATAGCCATTTTGCACAATTTCACTCACTGCTTACGCTCTAAATAAAGACTTCATCAAAACACTCCAATGGTCCCAGTTCTTGCCATCAAGAACCAGAATATTTGATCCAAAATCATTGTTATTCATCTTGCCTATTAAGAAATTATCACTCAGTGTTTCCCTTGGATTGAACCCCTCACTTTTCACTCGTGTTTCCCTTAGATTGAACCAGACTCTAGATGTCAATTGTTAGAACACACAGTTAATGCGCACCAAGATTGTAATTGCAAGATGAAAGAAATAACGCACACACACTCTAATATTTTGACATCTTAGAAGAGAAAAAGAGAGAGAATAGAGATGATTCTCATTAATTTATTTTTTACATTATAAACTGTTATTTATATATGTTACACAATAGCTTGCTAAGCAAGTCATCAATACACAAAATAACTAACTAACTAACTTGTACACAAGAGAGAGTTATGGATTAACATTCAACAGTAAAAATATTTTTATTAAGTAATAGGTTAATATTATATTTATACACGGTCT